AAACCTTATAAAGCATGGTTTTACTCTGACACACATAAGGTTGCCATGAATAGGAAGAGACTCCACAGAAGCTGGTTTGCCTATTTCATAGGGCTGGCTTTGAGAATAAAGGAAAACCAATACGTATGGAGCACTGAGGGAGAAGAAAGAACACTCCGCAAACATAAGCCACTAGGAAGGGGGTTTCCCTTTACACTGCCATGACAAAGATGCACAATTTTTTCTCTCATCTCACCACAAGGCCGGGGGTATTTGCTGAGGGGTCCCTTTGAGGGACAAGTTTTCAGCTGTCTTTAGGATGCTGCGGGAATGTGTCTTACATTCAGAGGAGATAAGAAAAGAGTTTTGTGAATTTGGAATTGGGCCTGAATGCTGGAAGCTCTCTTTCAAAGTGAAACATTTTTAAAAGCCTAGCTAATCTCATAGTCTTTTCTACCTCTGAAACAGATGGTGTGATTCACATACATTTGACATAAATGTGCCAGGTTGTGATGCCTTTTCTCATTAGGTTCAACTGGAGAGTGTTTTAACTAACAATAGGAATGTAAAGCATGACCTTGGATTAAAACAGAAGGCGGGAATGGGTTGTTTTACGGATACAGCAGAGAACTATGACTTAAGGCTCCAAATTTCTAATTAGAGATCATAACCTGGTAGATGAGACATTGGGAGCCTCACTAAAGGTCTTCAAGAGTACCCTTAATTTGTAAGTGCTGGTCGTCCAACATTTAAGCCATTATAATAAGTTTGAATAGAGTGTGGGTGGTAATTAATGGTTAATAAAGGAGCTCTGGTAGCATAGTGGTTATGAATCAGGCTGTGAACCTCAAGGTCGGCAATTTGGAACTACCAGCTGCTCTGCAGGAGAAAGATGAGGCTTTCTGCTCCCATACAGATTTACAGCCTCAGATACCCTGTTCAGGGTCGCTATGAGTTGGAACCGACCTGATGGCACTTAACAACAGCAACAAGGTAAAGAGGGAGTCCTGGTATGGTACTGTAGGATAAGCACTTGACTGTGAGGTTTATTGGAACCTCCAGTCTCTCCTCGGAAACCCTATACAAGGTCATTATGAGTTGGAACTGACTTGACAGCATTTAACTAGAACAATGGAACGGAGCTAGCCCTAAGTACACACTGCCTAGGAGTCCTGGTGTGGTGCTGTAGGATAAAGCACCAGACCACAGGTCGGCTTAAACCACAAGATCAGTGGTTCAAACCCACCAGCCGCTCCTGGGAAACCCTATACTGCAGAGGTAAAGAATGTCCGGCCCATGGGCCACTTAAGGCCCTTGAAATCCTTTGGTCTGGCCCTGCCAAGGCAACTGCAGTTCCAGCCATCATATTGTTGTGAAGTGCCATCGAGTTGGTTCCTACCCATAGTGACCCTGTTTAGGGTTTCCGAGGAGCAGCTGGTGAGCTTGAACTGCCGACCTTGCAGTTCAAACGGCTTTGCAGTCTGGCGCATTAACCCACTGCGCCACACCAGGACTCCCCACTGCACCACATATTAGGGGTGAATTAATTTGACCAAATATAGCAGGCTTATTTTTAAGTTGATAACTTTGTATGGCCTTGAATGATGCTATACATTTTGGCAGAATAAAAAAGGTTTCCCACCCTTATTATATAAGGTCCATATGAGTCCGAACTGACTCGATGACACTTAACAACAGACACTTTCTAGTGCCCAGAAAGACTATTCCATAGACACAGTTCCAAAATGCAAATCCCGTCATTTCTAAAACATCTGTCAGTTGCTTTTTCCTTTAGTTAGCCATTTGCCCTCTTCAAAACCATTTAACAGAAATTCTGAGATGATGAAAATATTTTCTATTTGTTTGCCCAATGGTAGCAGAACTTAGTTAGTGAGCACTTGGAATGTGGCTAGCTAAAAGGCTGAGGATCTGAGTTTTCATTAATTTTAATGTATGCTAAATGTGAATGGCCACACATAGCTATGTGGCTGCCAACAGGATAGAACAACTCTATCCAACTGGGCTTCCTAAAGCATCAGCATGAGGATGACGGTGAGAGGGTAATAGAAACTATGTGCATTCACCAGTCTTTATGTCTAAAATAGGATTATTATTTTTCTAAGTTGGTGGGAAGAGTAGCCAGAACCAGCATAGAAAACAAATGATTACAAAAAAGAGAGAAAAACGGAAAAACAATAAAAGAGACACTTCTATACTATTTGCCTTTCTTTTTTTAAAAACAAGTATTAAAATCAGAAAACCTCTACACTCATTAACAAAAGCTGAGCGAGATTGCTTTATGATAAAGCAAAACTTCTCTATCCAAACCAAGAAAATCACCAGTTAGGTGAAACTGAAGCTCCCGTTTGCACTATTCTCAGATCTCCATAAGGAGACTCACAGATGCACCTGTATGTATTTGGTGTGGAATTGGCTTTGTCACCAGGCCAGCTGCTGATCTCAGCTTCCCCCTTCTCTCTGCCTCATTATGTCTACACCACTCCGCAGTAGATACATGAACAGATAACCAAAGAACAGGAAGCAAACCAATCACAGATGAAAGGTGCTGCCTGCCTTTCACTCCCTCCAGATACACAACATTCTCTTTCTTTGCCCCTTCATGTAAATTCTGTGGCTGGACATTGCAGCACACAAGGCACAGACCCCTGAGATCTTACTTGCTGCCTTCCCACAACATTGCCAGGGCTCAAGAGGAAGTTCACCACATCGGGGCTGTTCTCCTCAATCTGTGTTCTTAACCCTGAAGCACACTTACTCAAAGTCTCCATGCTACATGGAACATATTCTTCCTACATGCCTTCATTGGTTATTACCCTGTGTTGAGTCTGAGTCTGTCTGTCCTGAACAGCACATTTTTGGGGTGTTGTGAGTTGTAATGGTACAGGGATTTAGTCACTGTCATTCTCCTTGGGTACCACCTAGCACAGTGTCAGGTGCAATCTGGAGCTTAACCAATGCATCTTCATAATGAAAAAGAGATGATTTGACTCAATGGGATTTTTAATTACTTTTGGATTTTAAGGCACTTTTTTTGACTCAACATACTCCTGAAAACAATGTCATTTCCTCTTGTAGAATTTGTTGAGGGGTATGGATTGGGCTTTGTTGTTTTGGGAAAGGACTTCAGAATTAATTGGCCATGGATCTTTGACTACTTGAAGGTTAAGAGAACACTCTTGAACCAGTCTGTAGTTACATGATTGGTATGGGAAGAAGAAACATACCACAACAAATAAGCAAATGGTCCCAGGTTTCTCCACAGTGAGATGGTAGGAGAATACAAGTCTTTATTATTTAAATATTCATACTACCCTGAAAAAGACCAGTAAAGATGAGAGGGCTTCAAAAAGTTTGTGGAAAATTGCACTATTTTTTAATTCCATTTCCCATGAACTTTTTGAAGCCCCCTTGTATGACAACTGAAACTCTGGGAAAAACTTTGCAGCCTTCTGAAGTTGGGAAGTGGGTGAAAGCAAAGCACATGATGACTAGATTGGCCTCGCCTCCTATCTACTGGTCTCCTAAGTAGATAGGAGGTAAGTTTGAAATAGAAAAACTTTGATTCTGCTCCCAAACTTATCCTAAACAGAAACATTAAACTGCAAAATGAATCAATGGAAATGTAATTAAATTGCAGTGCTAAATTAGTAATAATTAAAAAGCTCCCTTCCCCCTCAAGTTTAAAAAGTCTACAGCCATACCTTAAGGCAGTAGGTCTCAAAGTGTGGTGCTCAGAGGAGTAGCAGCATTACCTGTAGCTTGTTAGAAATGCAAATTCTTGGGCCCTCTCCTAGATCTACTAAATTTGAAACTCCAGGAGTGGGGCCCAGCAGTCTGTGTGATAAAACTTCCTCCATGTGGCTTTGATGCACTGAAGTTGGAGCACCACTGCTTTAAACCAACATTGAAATAGGTGAGACTATTCTTTGCAATGAGGACTAAATGAGTCAAGCCTTTCTCAGTTCTAGAATTAAGGACTGACCCAGCACTGAAGACATCCAGCCAATAATCTCTGGTTCTGTGTTCCAAGTAGTCTCCATCTTGTACTACCCGGGGTGTGACCAAGCCTCCCCTGCACTCCCCAGGAGACTCCTGAGGCTGAGGTGGGCTGGTGTGACTGAGCTACATGCATTCATCTGCTTCACAGTGGGAGACAGAGCAATATAAAACAAAGCAATGCAGGATCTCTGGAAACCTTTGCATGTGCCCATCAATATACATTCTTTTTCTGGAGGGGAACAGATACTTAGTACTTTGCAATCACTATTTCACAAATAATGATCTGAAGAAAGGCAGTGTGTGGCTATCTGTGTGTGTGTATGTATATGCATACGCACAAATGCACACACACATATAGAGCAGGTAATTGTTGCATTAAGCAGTGCAGCCTTAATGGTGAGTCCTGGTGCAAACACAGTGCAGCGTGTGAAGTCAGTGCATGCGTCTGTACACTCACCTCTCATACCCCTTGTTCTGAGTCACAGTACTGATCAGCCATTTCCTTCTAGTCCCTAACACTCTGGCTTTACTCCGTCCTTACCTATTCTACCAGACCAGATTGTAAGGAGAATTATTAAGATGTTAGTTATCCAAACAAATCAAAACTTTTCATATTTCTATCTGATAATGACATTTGCTCATATAAAATAGGCTTTAGGTACCCTAAGAACACAAGGGCAGAAACATGTCAAAGCATCAGATGCCCAGTATCAATTTATGACATTTGGTATCATGAGAAACTTCCAGCCTAAGAAAGATGGGAACCAAACTCTCCTCAGTAACTTTTCTCCCTTTAAACTGTACCTCTCATCACGACCTATTACACCCACATAGTCATGTGCCATAGGCACTGCAGACTGTCTCTAACATTTCAAAGACTCTTTCAAAAGGTATTTTTAAAGCCAAAAATACAATCTAGGTTGCTATTCTATAAAGCACTTTTTAAGGGAGAACAAAATAATATAGCAATTTTTATGCATGTGGGCAGTTAGCCAACTCACCAAAAGACTGAATACAGTTGTCAATGAGATCATCCAGGCTGGCTCCTTTGGCTAAATGTCCCAGAGACACCATCATTCGGAACTGGGTGACCTGGGCCAGGCTGGGCTGGGAAGGGAGGGGGCTGCTGGCTGGCTTCGCTTCTAGTCTTGGTTTAGGGGCAGGTCTGCAGCCATGGGCAGGTTTCCTGTGGAAAGAGAGAAGGCAGAGTGTAAGCAGAACAGCCAGGGGATGAGCAAGCTGCCAGCTTGGAGCTCTACAGGCAGATTGGAGAGGAAAGGAGTAGAGATAAGACAATTAATCCCGAGAGTTGGGCTGATAGAAGACATAACCCTCCCATTTGGCAAATGTACTAAACGGACTGGTTGGCAGTTAAAGAAACATCTCCCCAGCAAATAATGACGCATGATTTCAGGGTTTCAACTCGGGATCTTTATCCCGGGGTTAGGATTGCTCTGTCCTGCTGTGTCCTAGTTCCCGAAGGAGAGAAGAAGAGGCAAGACTGTATCTTGGCAGCTGCTAGCTCCTAGTAATAATTTTTCATTTTAACTTGTAGGCCACTGACTTGGATTTTCAGAATCATTTAAGTTGGTCTTGTCTTGAGCTAACTGAGTTCATCTTGCACAATATAAGATGGTGCAGAATGCCAGGCAGCCTTAGACACAATGTCCTTAGAGACATTGCAGGAGAAATCAAAGACTGAGAACCTGTTTGCAGGATGTGACTGGTTATAGTGGTGGTAGTTAGATTTCATGCCAGCCTTGGCTTTCTCGAAAATTTTGGTTGGTTTTAAGATCTGAATTTTCCTTGTGGATAACTCGGGAAATCACTCAGGATCGTTCTGTCAAGTCCTCACCAATTGAAAAACAAAACAGAACTTAAGAAAGCTTAGTTTCAGAACTAAATTGTGAAAGGACAAGACTGGATCTGGAAATGCCTTAGAAATCCAACAGGTCACTTTTGTCTAATCAGTTAGCTTTAGTGGTGACTTCACCAGCACTGGGCAAATTATTTGAAATATGACATGCTTGAGACAAAGCATTTTATTTTCCTCTCAATTAGAAACAACTGACATGCGCACACACACATGCATATAGCTATAATATTTTAAGGTTTAATAGCCCTGAGTATTATTGCCTCTTTGAATATATTGTTAATCTTCCTCTCCCAAAATCTGGTTTTGATCATTTTGTTGTTTACTAACAAAAATGAGAGATGGCAAAGAAAAAAAAAACAAAACAAAAAACAGCTCAGATCTTTACTGACTAAATTGTATGATAAACACATGATGACATCAATTAATAAGTATAAGGAGCTCTGGTAGCGTAGTGGTTACGAATCGGGCTGCGAACCTTAAGGTCAGCGGTTCGAAACTACCAGCCGCTCCGTGGGAGAAAGATGAGGCTTTCTACTCCCGTAAAGATTTACACCCTCGGAAACCCTGTACAGGGTCGCTATGGGTCAGAACTGACTCGATGGCACTTAACAACAACAACAACAACTTATAGAAAGATGAGGCTTTCTGCTCTCGTAAAGATTTACAGCCTCGGAAACCCTGTACAGGGTCTCCATGGGTCGGAACAGACACGATGGTACTTAACAACAACAACAACTTATTCAATAAGTGCTTGTTCTATGAGAAAGAAGATATTGTGATAGGCCAGGTGTGACCATATAGTAAGATAGTCTACATGAAGATACTTTGTAAACTATGAAATGTAATCTTTAGAACTGTCTTTCTGCCAAAATTTATAACACCATTTGAGGACCATACAAAATGATCAACTTAAAAATTAACCTGCTTATTTGGTCAAACATTTATTTAACTATTCCCCAATGTGATGGCTGGAGTCCTTGTATGGTGCTGTGGGTTAATGCGCCAGACTGCAAAGCTGTTTGAATTGTAAGGTCAGTGGTTCAAGCTCACCAGCTGCTCCTCAGAAACCCTATACAGGGTCGCTATGGACCGGAACCAACTCAATGGCACTTCACAACAATAACAATAATGTGATAGCCAAGTCCTGGTGTGGTCTGTGGGTCAATGCGCTGGACTGAAAGGTCATTTGAACTGCAAGGTCACCAGCTACTCCTTGGAAACCGTATACAGGGTGATTATGGGTCAGAACCGACTTGGTGCCACTTAACAACAACAATGTGATGGCTGGAACTGCAGTTAGCTTGGTAGGGCCAGATCAAATGATTTCAAGGGTGGCTGGACATTCCTCATTCCTTGCTTCAGATTAAGATTTTGTTGTTGATATAGAAAAGAGATCTGGCAATTACTTAATATAAAAATCTAGTTGGAGAATCAGACTTAGACCATGAAAAGATAACTATATAGACTCGTAATCAAATGTCCTGTGCTTGTCAATGGTAAGAAGTATGGTGGCTGGCAGAGCAGGGAGAACTCAGTTGCAGCTGCCATGTCTGGGAAGGCTTCTCTGACAAGATGCAGTGTCACCTAGAAAGGGCTAAAGAAGAACTTAGATAAAAAATAAGATGCAGAAGTACATATAGATTTTGGGAAACCAGCAAATAGAAGACAGGAGATTTACCTAAGGGGTACTCAGTACCCAGCCAGACTCATGGAGGGGATAGCCTTTAGGGTCTGTTTCACACTAGCTCCAGGGGGCTGGCTTGGAAAGCCTCTCTGGGATCTGTTCTGACCTAGAGTGGGTCCAAGGATCCAGTCAACAACTGGCCACTGGGGCATCTGCTGATCCAAGTTTATGGGCCGATGCTGCTCAGGATTCCTGGCAGATCAACTGGTGGTACAGAGCTCAATCAAGCTTCTAGCTATTATGAATTCTGTGCAGGCCCTGTGCTAGTACCAGGACCAGACCAGTAACTGAAAACAGGAGACACTGATAATGATCACCATGAATTGAGTGATTACAATATGGTAGCCACTGTGTTGGAGAGCCACATGGCCTTTAAAAGTTTACAACCCAGAAAGATGTTATCTCCATGCTGTGATGCAACTGAGATGAACTGGCTTAACCACGGTTGTATAACTTGCTGGTAACAGTTGTGGGATTTATATTTGGTAAGTTTCTGACTTTATTTAAGACTCATACTTACTATGCCTGGATCTGTGTACTATTCATAATATCACACCTAGAAAGCAGTCCCAAATAGCAAAGTTGAAAAGGTCAATTTAAAAAAAAAAAAAAAAGTAAAATTTCCCCAAAGCGTAGATGATAACATAGAGGCTGAATCTCAAACCCTATTGCTTCTGCAGGTTCCAGAACCATCCTGAGAATCCCAGAACTGGATGGACTCTTCATAGCCATTTTCCAAACCTCCCATCTAAAGGTGTGGAAGTTGAGGTCTGAAAGGTAAAGACATGCTAGAAGCCAGGCCTCCTATGCCCTGGGCTATTCTCCCTTCCCTTCCTGGAAGCAATGATACACTACCTCAGTTTCTACCTTAAAGACCTCACCAAACACAGAGTAGGGTAAAGATGAAAATAAAGTTGTTTTCAGTTGAAGCCTTTTTCTCTCAGGTGTTCCACGCCACCTCTCCTTCACCCCTAAAGAAGAGGCAGTCTCACCTAGAGCCTGTATCTCCAACACGGGACTCCTCTTGCTGGGGACAGAAAAAGAGCTGCCTTACTCTCTTGATTGGGGGACCCAAGAGAAATCCCATTCAGGACTCCCAAACCTGTTCTGACCTCTATGTTTTTTAGTGTCATCAGCAGAGAAAAACGATTTTAGTTCATAAGGTGATTCTTAGAGGTAGATGCTTTTACTGGGACTAGAAAGAACCGGGGTAGATTCCCGTAGAAAGAAAGAAACTGAAGGGAGTATTTAGGATGAGGGGAAGGAAAGGTAAAAGATGAAATCTGGAAATATAGAGGCCACACAGACGGCTCCTACAGCTTGGGCACAAGAAACCAGGGAAAAGAGAAACCGAAAAACCAAATGGCAGCCTAAGAAGTCTAGGAGGATGAGGAGTTATTTGCACCATAAACTGGGAAACTGTTCTTTTGCTGTGCAGTTTGTGACAAACCTTCACATTGCTCTCTCTTCTGGAGAAATAGGTTAGATTAGGATTTCTACAGCGATTTATAACAGACAAGTAAAAGAGTGTTTTAACAACCAACCCATGGAATGAATGGCCTCTAGTCCTCAAAGGTGTAGTAGTTAAAAAGGATAGTAGCAAAATGTTTCATGGCCAGCTCCCTTGTGAATTTAAAAAAAAAAAAAAAAAAAAAAGCAAAGAACTAGAGAAGTTAAAGTGAAAGTGTGTTTTGAGTGTACAAGTAGTCAAGGCCCTGTAAGGTTTATTAAAGGAGATTGTTAAATCTCTGAACTGGTTTAGGGGAAATCCTCTCCAAGCACAAGCAGCTCAGAGGAGGTCACAATTCCAGCCTGAACTTTTCAATATTATTATTTGTAATGAAATCCAGAGATGAAATGAACGAGAACGGGAATTCCCATAACTTCCTTTGCAGTCCCAAGTGCCTGCTCCCACAAAGATTTAAAGCCTCAGAAACCAATACGGGGTTACTATGAGTCGGAATCGGCTCATCGGCACTTACCAACAGTGACCACAGTGGTTCCGTAGGATAAACATAATACTGCAAACCACAAGATTGGCGGTTCAAGTCCACCAGCCGCTGCACAGGAGAAAGATGAGGCTTTCTGCTCTAGCAAAGATTTCAAAAGTCTCAAAACATTACACAGGGTAGCTATGAGTCCGAACTGACTGCGCGGCAGTTAACAAGGAGCGAGGAGTCCTTCCAGTCCTGTCCTCGCTCTTGGAAATATGAACTTAATTTACTGAACTCCAATCCCTCCCCCACATTGTAGTGCAAGGTACATTAACAGTGATGGCACCTCAGGCGCTCCACGGTTGGGGGGGAGGGGCAACAGGAGGAAGGAATGCATAAAGGATTGTTGCTATTGTTATTGTTGTTAAGTGTCCTCGAGTTGGCTTTGACTCATGGGTAAGAAGTCTTAATACCAGGGAATGAATATAAGTAGATAAAGCTCCGCACAGTAAAGCGTCCCGCCTCTACTGGGTATGGTTGTGCAGGTTGGGCACTGCACACTCAGAGTCCATGCAATCAGCTCTTAGGAGTTGTGAAGTGCATAATTTGCCCAGTCCTATGATGAGTCCAGGCAATTGCCCTGTTCCCGCATGTTGGGGGACAGACTCAAAGTTACCTGTCTCCTCCATATCTTTCTCCTTCCAAGACCCTCCTAAAACATATTTCTAGAATAATAACTAGAGAAGGGGATGGAGATTTCTACTGGGAACATTGCAGAGTTGGCTGACTCGGGGACCTGGGTACTTCTCTGGAAGAGAGGCGGCCAAATGGTACCACCTGCAAACCCCAAATAATAAAGACTGTTGGCCATTCCCGGCCGAATTCGAGAGCTCAGAGCCGCCGCCAGATGGCACTGCTGTTGCCCCGCGCTCGCAGCAGGTGCGGATGGCAGGGAAAGTCCACGCGTGGGAGTCCCGAGTGGTTGGCAGTGAGGATCCCGGGAGGAGGTAGGCGGGCGTCCACCTGTGTGAGGTCGGACAGTGAAGGGCTTTTGTCTTTGCAGTTACCAATATGCCCAGGCAAACTCTGGCGTCGCCTCCGCATCGACACAACCCCAGCTCCCTAGCGAACCATCCGGACACTCAGGTGGGTCTGCACCTCGCGCCCGCCAGAAGACTCTGACCTTCCGCCGTCCTCACCCAGGTCAGCAACTTCCCGTAGCAAGAAGAACCCTCGTCGCTCAGTCCCCCTACTCCCGGCCACCTTCAATGAGAGGACCTGAGGACGCTGTCCGCACAGCTGCCCTGTCTCCAAGAAAGCAAGCCCGAACAGACCCGGAACGCCGCCACCTCTACTCACCGCGGAGCCTCTCTCGCTTTGCCTAGAGTGCCCATGGCCTCGGCTCTTGAGCCAGTTCAGCTAGCACGAGGGGCCGGAGTCGGCAGGGCGCGGTGCATCGCCACCACCCCAGTGCCCAGGCCTCTCCGCCCCGGGGCTACAGCCTACCCGCACGCCCGCAGCTCTCAGCGGCGCCAGGCGAGCCCGATGGAGGCGCACCCGCAGGCACAAACTTTGTGTGAGCGCGCGCCCTCTCCGCACACTCCCACAGGCGCGCGCGCGCACACACAGACTCACACGAACCACCTGACAAACGCTGATGTTATCGGCGCTAGGAAATATGTAGCACTTTGCAGCTCTTCTCCGAAACCGGTCCCCATTGCTCGGTAGTGCCGAGGCCTGGGCCTCTCGCAGTTCTCTTTTTACTCCAGGTTTCACGTCCGTCCTCCAACCCAAGGGATAAAAAGGACATGGGCAGGCATTTGGCAGCTACTCTCGGTTACGTGTGACCTCCTAGCACCTGAACCCGAGGAAACGGGCGTCCCAAAGTGACTCTTGTAGGACCCCCTAGCTGCTCCCTTTCCTCAACCTTTTACCCTGCCGCTGGAGACAGCTGCTTGAGGCGTTTCAGTCCCAGCTCCCCAAAGACCCCTTGTTTTCGGGCAGGCTTCTTTAGATATCAGAGTGCACATGCACACCCGTGTTCAAGATTAGGACCACTACTTACTCGCAGGTGTGGATTTGACTTAACCAGCACATTTTATGTTTCTTTTTAGTTACAGTTTGCAAGACTGGGCGGTAGGAACCTCCCATGTACCCTGGAAGAGTGAGGCAGGTAGAGGTATGCTCTGAAATTGAAATCCGTATCAGCCTCGAGAAAATTGCCTGAGGTCTATGGGTGTGGAAGACCTGGAAGAGGAGAGTAGGGGAGAAGTGAGGAGAGGTCCCTGTGAGCGTCTTACAATACCTGTGCGACAGCAAAGCAGGCACAGAACAGCGGCTTTTCCTCCTGCTTGTCCAAGTTTTCTTGAACATTGTAAATTAGCTAATGTTGACTTGGACTCCTGGCGTGGCACTGAAAGGTAGGTTGGTGGTTCAAGCCCACAGGCCACTCCTTGGAAACCCTTCACAGGTCACTATGAGTGGGAACCAACTCTACCGCACTTTAACAATAACAACAATGTTGACTTAGTGTCTACTACACATTGTACTCTGTACTTTTTTGGAACAATATCTCATTTGAATCACCATCCCCCAAATACAACGAGTCCACTGGTACAGTCATGAAACATTAAGGTTAGAAGACGATTTGCCTAAATCACACATGTAGCCAACAGTGGAGAGAGCTATGACCTGGACTGAGATCTGACCTGTAATTATTGCTGGGTTGTCCTAAGAACAAACATCATACAGGATACATGGATTGTCTTTGCGACACAACACAAGTCTAGCCACAGTAATATCTTCCGTGCTATCATCTTCTGGACCTAAAAGCCACCCTCTGCTGTCTCATTTATATATATCCATATATATGCCATCTTATACATTAAAAAATACCTTCAAGACTGCTTACAAGCTATAACCTACAAAAAGAAGTACGTAAAATGAAAACAAGGCACATAAAATGGAGCCAGAAACAAGTCTGTTTTTTGAAAATATGTACTGAATCAAAGTTTAGTCACTGCTACAAAACCCCATCTGTCAAGTCTTTTAAGACTTATGGTGACCCCATGTGTTACAGAGTAGACCGTCTTTATCGTTTTCCTGACTAGTAGAACTGATCCATTGGATTTTCTTGGCTATAATGTTTCTGAAAGCAGATCACGAGACATTTAGGCACTGCTTAGTGGGTGTCAACTGCCAACCTTTAGGTTTGTAATAGAGTGCAACCATTTGATCCACCTAAGGATATTAGTTGATACAAGTGGGACCACAATTTATCTGGTGACTGTCTAGCAGTCAGGTTAAGAAGGAAGGCCTTGTCTAAGATTCCATTTCTGTCACATGTAAGACTCACACACACAATTGCTCAAGACATGCAAGACAAAAAAAAAAAAAAAATGCTCAAGAAAAGATCAACTCCTTGATGCTGAGACCTCACAGGAATTTCCCCCAGAGAATTTCCATGAAAAGAACATTGGATGGTATGAAGAAACAAGTCTTCAGTCCCAGCCACATTTAGAAGGTACATTGCAGATGTTAGAAGAATGAAGATAAACATTGAAGAAGATAAACATTGAAGAATGACATTCTCCTTCATTCAGGATTTTTAAAGTTAACAGATTTTAGACTATTTCTTTTATCCCTTGCCTTATGAAAGCCCTGTAAAATACTGAACCAAACTCCATGAATGACTGAGGATAATGACGATTACACACTGAACTTCTAGAGATTTCAACTACAGATTTACCATTTCCGAGTTTGTATCTTTCACTTGTTACATACAGGAGACAGTCTCTGATTTCCTGGTGAACTCTAACATTTCACCCACCTCTCTACCCCAGAATGAGCACTTTATATTCCCCCTTCCCCTTAAACACTTGCATCTTTCACTTATGTTTTACATTGCTGTATAATATTTGGTGTATAATATCTGCACAACTACATAATTATTTCCGGTCAAGGATCAGATCTTATACTTCTTTAGCTTCCATGGAAGAACCAGCTTTGGGTGGCATGTGTGGGAAGTTCCCCAAAACTTGCTTTTAGTTTCATTTTGAAATGTGGAATATGGTGACCTCAAAGAATATTGGATCCTTCTAGATTATTTCAGGAGAAAGGGTGCAAGATTTTCTTTTAAATTATCTGCCCATAGCAGAATGGATATGTTTGCTGGCATTGTACCATCTAACCTTTTAAAGGATCCTCTGCACTGGGTTGTCTAAGGCCTTCACCTCTTCTCTATTACTTCAGCCTTAAGAAGAGAGCCCCTTTCATTCTCTTCATTGCAAAGAATCTTTGATTTTGTATGTTGTAAGGGGATAATCCAGATTTATACTCATTGTTAAATACTGTCCAGTCCTGACTCATAGCTATCTTGTATAGGGTTTCTTTGCAGGAACAGAAAGTCTCATCTCTCTTCTGTAGAGTGACTAGTGGGGTTGAGCCACTAACCTGTGGTTTGCAGTCCAATGCTTATCCTACAGAATATGCATATGTATATGTGTCAAGTGGATCAATCGGTACCTTTATCTGTGTGTATATACATACATGAGGGTGTATTTGCATACAAGTGCATGCACACACGTGGACAGTGGTAGAATTCTTGACTTCCATGCAGGAGACCTGGATTTGATTCCTGACCAATGTATCTATCTGTCAATGGAGGCTTGTGTGATGATGCTGAACACATTTCAGTTGAACTTCTAAACTAAAATGGATTAGGAATAAAGGTTTGGTGATTTTTGACAATCAGCCAATGAAAGCTCTATTGATCACAACAGTCTGCTTCACAAGCCAGTTAGGGATGGCACAGGACCAGGCAGTGTTGCCTTCTGTTGTGCCTGGTGTTGCTATGGCAACTAACAACAACAACAACACAAGCATGTGTATATATAAATATATGTGTATGTGTATTTACACATGTATACTCCCACATAGACATTTCCATGTATCTACATAATACTAATCACACATGTAGTCAGTTACATACACCTACACACATTTAGTCTATTATATACAAAGAGTATATATTAAGGTTATTAGTTCATCCAAGAGAAAAGTTTGCTAAAGAAAGGGCCTGCTTATATCTGGGAAAGCTCTTCTTCTTGGGTTTTTTGAGATCTCTGCACTCTACTTGCATCTGACTGTTTCTGGGCCAACTTGAGCTCTTTGATGAGGCTTTCTAGCTGCTTCTGCTTAAGCAGCATGTCTTTTTAAATCATCTAGAGAACTAGAAGTCAGCTCCATTCCTACTCTCCTTGGTGTTATCTGAGGCTTCTCTGACCACAAGAACAAAGTTCCTTTTGTTTTCTCTGGTTCTTGGCTCTTACCCTTTCGTCTCCTTCTCCTACTTCTTTGATGAGTGGTGGTGATAGTGTTTGTGTGCCTGATGAGCTTAGACTCATAGCAATCTTGGATAGAGTTTCCGATACTATACATCTTTATAGGGGCAGAAGCCCAATCTTCATCCCATGGAATGACTGGTAAATTTGAACTGCTGACCTTGAGGTTAGCAGCCCACCTCATAATTGATTATACTATCAGAGCTCCTTCTTTCATGGGTAATGATCAATGTTTCTGTAGCAGCCAACCAGTGTTGGGGACCACAGTCTTTTTCAGCCCACCCCTTGAGTGAGACATTTCTCAGGAATTTTTCCCTGTCTTTCGTCTTTGTCTTAGTCATAGGTTGTTAACTAAGGCACATGGACTACTTTTTACTTAGATTTTGGTGTTTGTGAAACCTCTGAAATTATATCCAAATTTTTAATATGTTTTTCCTGGGGAAAGAGCTTTAGCTTTCATCAGATTTACGTGTTTTTATGTTCTTCAGTGGCTTCATTTTCAAGTATGTGGTTTTCATATCTGAACATCCAGCATCTCTCCAGCATCCAGACCCAGACCCAGAATTTTTGTAACTGTTCCACCTGAGTTTCTTTTCCATCTGCAGGGCCATGTCTTAGACTAGGTCCAGTGACCCCTTGCTTGGACATGAGTAATGGCCTCCTCAAGTTATGAAACCTCCTTTTCTCTGATCCTTCTTTATGTTCTTTCAGAGTTACCTGGTCATGTCATTTCTCTGCTGTAAATTACAAAAAAAAAATCCTCAATTTCTTCTAGGATGAAAAACAAACTTTCCAGCCTTGTACACCTTTGCAACTGGATCTTTCCCATCAGCCTTAGCTTTAGCTATGTCCTCCCAAGTACCTGACCTCTTAGGTGGCGCCTTGGTTACTCCTGATTATTGCTGTTGTCTGTGCCCTTCCACATCTCAATGCCTTTGCTCATGGACTTCCTTTGCCTGCTGTTTCTTTTCACTTAGTAAGTACACAAAGGCACAGTTATACCAAATGCATCTAAACTGGCAGGTCATCATAAAGCATACACACAGGTGTAATGGCAAAAACCTGTTGTGTCCCTCCTTTGA